GGGTCAACAAATAATTTAGGTACATTTTTTTTAAATTATTTACCAATGTTTCTATTTCCTTAATTTATTTTTTCTAACTGTAAAAATAATCAACAATCACCATAAAAAATTCAAAGTATTCGAGTAAAAATTCGATTTATTTAATAAAAAAAAAACAAAATTGAAAATTTTTATATTAATAAAATGTTACCTACGACAATTTTATGATAAAGGCCATATATAGTGCTTTATTTATGTAACATTGCTTTATTTATGTAACATTTCGTAATCGAATGCTTAGGCTTTTGTATTGGTAATTTACAATTTGAAAAACGCTGCTGATGATGCTAATGGTGGTTATTACAGCAAAAATATTTCTAAAAGAATGTAATTTGTGCTTAGGTTAGGTCAATTTAATTCCATACAGCTATTCTAATTAAGCGTTTCCTAATCTGAAAATAACAATTAAGGAAAATTTGTAATATGAGAAACACACTATTTACATCGAAAGAACACAACACAAAACACAAACAAATGGAACGTGTATACAAAAAAAAAGAAATAAATAAAAGGACAGTATGATAAAAAAAGAATAAGAAAGTCAAATAAATATTACAAAAACATAGACAATTAAGAATCGATTATTTACGAGTAGAAGATGTGAGATCGGATTGGATTGAAATTACTAGCGCTGAGCTTCTCTGACCTACACTTTATTAGAAAGACGGGAGAGTAGACTCATTTTAGGAATAAGTGGATAGTGATTGGGGGTGAGTTAGAAGAAAAGTGAATGATGTCTTATAGAATATTACTGCTCAACATTATCATAAGGTCGTCAGTCCTATGACTGGTTGAACACGCATCTCCACTCTTTCGCATTTCCCCAAAACTAGAACAACCCACATCTTTAACTATTTGCGAATAGTTATCTAATCTAGGTCTACCTCTACTCCTCTTGGCTCCTGTTCCTGACTCTAATATCTCTGACTAGACGTTCATGCCTGAGAAGGCGTCCTACCAACCTATCTCGCCTATTTTTTGACTTTCTTCTTTTCTTTCTAATACCTCTTCATTTCTAACCTTCTCTATCCACGGTATCCTCATCATTCGCCTATAATTCCACATTTCGAAAGCTTCTAACCTTTTCTTTTCCTCCGCGCCCGTTGTCCATGTTTCGTATCTGTACAGCGCCGTGTTCCAAACATACACCTTTAACAATCTTTTTCGATTTCGATAAATTAACCGTTCGCGAGCATAGAAGTGACTTCTTTTTATTGAACTCAACTCTGCGTTATCCTTTGCTTTATATCCCTACCACTCCTTCCGTCCTGACTTATCTGACTTCCTAGATACCCAAAATTCGCTCTTTCGGACTGTATAGTGAGAATCGACTTTTAAGATGTACGTTGTCTGTCAGTCAATAATCAGTCAATCGCGGTATTGTTTTATATGTGTAGATTTCATATAAGTATATCATAAGATCTCTGAGAATTATGCAATAAAAGAAACCTTTAATATTCCGATAAAAACATTTAATATAACATTTAAGACCCATTTGCATACTACAAAAAATAACAGAACGTGATTTAGAAGTTCCACGCTTTTCGTAATAGGTGAATACGTTTCTTTCTTTTACTGAAAATGAGTTCCGTGGTCTAAAATGAAAGGTGGAAGTGGAATATTTGTAATTTCATGATGTTTTTTTTAGATTTACTAAAATGAAAACTCAGATACATACCTGTCTCATTAATGTAAACCTTTAATAAAAGTGGACCAAGATGTGCACCTTGAGGAACACAAACACGTAACATCAATAAGATCAGATAAGTAGGTATTTACTATAACGTACTCATTGAGTGCTACCAGATACGACAGTATCCAATCGAACAGAGAACTTTTTATGACTAGTTATTCTAGCGTGGCTAATTGGATCGAAGGCACTTCAAAAATCGGTGTAAATGACGTTCATTTGTCTACGTGTCGCCATGTTGCTGGTGACATGATTCGTGAAATGGAGCAAGTTTGGGAGAGTAGATCGACCTAAAGTGAAGCTAAGATAATGTACTGGGAAGCGTCAGTACATAAAGAAGCAGTAATCGCAGTCAAATAACTTTGAAATGACGCTAATTACAAAGACGGATGGAGACATCAAACATACTGCCTGTTTTGAAGATAGAAGTGATAAAGCTGGACTTCCTTCTATCGGGACATGAGTAGGTACGAAATCAGAGATATGGTAAAAAGTTGGCGAATAGGAACAGATAAAAAAAAGTACATTCGCGAAGAAATTCATAAATTTTTTTGTATTATTGAAGGAAATTATATTTTTATTTCAAACAGATTATCCTTACATTTTACGCTTTAGTTATGCTTTTCAAAATTGAGTGGGTCGACATACTTCTCAAACACTGCTTGTAAATAGTCTAAAATTATATTGTATAAGCAACTNAAACTTCAGAAATAATCATATAATTACTTAATGAGAATGTAAAAATAACTTATACTTCGTAATAATTACAACGATAAATTATTTATCTGATAGTACAATATACAAACTTACGATTAGTTATAGTAAAATATAAAACCACAATACTTTTTTAATACTTAATATGCAACAGCAACAGAAGTCCTTAAAAAACCTGTACATTTCTGGGTATATATGTCGATAAAAATTATAATAATTGCTCTATAATTTCCTTAAGACTTGTATAAGTTCCCGCAATCAGTCCCGCTATACCGAACAAAACCAAAAGAATATTCTTTGTGAGCGTCAAATAAAAAACTGTTCCTTCCCTGCTGTACCAGAATGTAAAACTGTCTACTGCAGCGGGTATTGCTAGTCCCGCTGCTGAAAGGCAGAAAGCACCGAAGAGGGAAATGAATAAGTCTAATTTCGGCACTGCCACAGCCATTAAAACTGTAAAAAAAACAAAGGAAGAAACGTTAGGTTATAAATTCAATAGAGTTTATCGTGCACTGGTTGTGAAATGATTTGTAATACTTTTTTTAATAGTAGAATTACATAATACCGCAATTGTTGAATGAATTTATTATCAGAATAGTAGGAATGTTCTAACTAGGTCGAAACATTTTTGGTAAACTAACACCAAATGGTTTTATTTAATTCTAAACTATACATTGTTAGCTTTTGTTTTACTAATATTTATTCGCATTAATTATTATTATTCCGACCTACGGTTACATCAACCTGCGCCTCAACTTAGGCCTACGTAGAAATTTCGCTTGACAATTTATAATTGCGTATGTCAACAAACCAACAAATAATTGGAGCCGATTTCTTGGCCCAATATCAATTGCTCGTAAATTTAAACAACCAGCGTTTCCTGGATCAGCCAATGCAGTTCAGCCCCTGGTAAGGTGACTGGTTGCAGCCAACCCTCAATAATAAAAAAAAAAAATTTTTAAGTGTTTCATTCCCACCAGCCAGTAATGCTGGTGGGCGGGCAGTCCCTCCGGACTACGCCTATTCAGCCTGCATTCAGGAATCGTGGGAATGGGTGGGTGGTGGTTCGGGTGAGAAAGATGAGACGGACGAAATGAAGACAGAAGAGAATGAAAGATTATCTGTGGAATATTACTGCCTCAGCATTTGCCTAGGTGATCCAAGGAAACCACAGAAAAACTTGGACCAAGGCAGACGGACCCGGAATCGAACCGGCGTCCTCCCGAATGCTAAGCAATGGTCTAAACCTCTAGGCCATGCCGCTCGGTACACACTACACTTCATGTACCCTAAGCATGCAACAAGGCATTACATAAACACTACCCCTGGTCCGTCCCGTAGCCAAAGAGCGTTTGCAGTAGCTAAAAGAGAGTTTGAGACACCGGTACAACTGCGCATCGCTCGCCTTTTCTCCAGTCCCTGGGCATAGCCACGACACACGTTCCCGATGAAAGACAATGAATGACGATCCTGCGAAGATTATCGCTCACTCAACCCGAAAACCATTCCCGACAGATACCTTGTTCGAAATATTGGAGATTTTACGCATGCATTATTAAACAAAACAATATTCTTCACAGTCGACCTCGTTCGAGCAAACAATCAAATCGTGGTTGCTGACGAAAACATTCTGAAGATGGCAATAACTCCATTTGGATTATTCGAATATCCATTTATGAATTTTGGTTTACGTAACGCTAGTCAAACATTTCAGCGATTCATAAACGAAGTATTACGCGGTCCAGACTTTTGTTTTGCCTACATTGAGCATATCCTGGTCATGTCAGAATCCGCAACTCAGCACGAACAGCATTTATAAATAGTGTTCACGCGATTAAACCCATATGGTGTGCTACTAACCAGACTAAAGTGCAAGTTCAGCGAAAAAGAAGTTTCCTTTCTAGGTTACTCTGTCTCAGCGAAAGGTATACGACCTTTACCAGATAGAGTAACAACCAATCATGAATTACCCAAAACTAAGCATGGCAAAACAACTACGATAATTTCTGGGTATGCTACACTTCTACAGGAAATTCCTACCAAAAGCTGCCTACACGCACTCAGAATTAAACAAATTCTCCAACAGAATTTAAAAGGCAACACATCGCTACGATGGAATAAAATTCGAATTGAGTAAGAAACAACTTGCTTAAACTAGTCTCTCCTACACTATCCTCAACCCAACGCAACATTAGTTATATTTTGTGATGCTTCCGACTACTGCTTGGGCGCTGCGTTACAATAATACCACGATGGAAACTGGGGGCCCATACCATTCTTCTATGGTAAACTCTCCAACGGGGAGATCAAATATACTGCTTTCGATCTAGTACAACTAAGCACTTTCGACATTTGCTAAAGACCCGCGACTTTATTTTTTCACGCATCACAAACTTCTAACGTTTGCCTTTAGTTAGAGCCCTAACAAATATTCCCCGATGCAATCACGTCATCTAAATTTCATTACCCAATTTTCAACAAACATACAGCATACTTCGGGTAAGGACAACATCGTAGCAGACACTTTTTCACGAATTTTAGAAGTATCAAGTCCCACTGATTACGAAGTCCTTCCAACTTAAGAGTCCGATAAAGATCTTCAATCATATCTCAGTTCTAAGAGGTCCCTAGTATTAAAATATCTCAAAAGGAACAGTTAGACCATTCTTGATCCCATCGTTTCGTTTCGCCATTTTCAAACACCTATATTCCTTAAGGCACTCTGGTATTCGTGTGTCTATCACATAACGTTTTATATGGGCCATAAGCAAACAGTAATTGCGCCAAATGGGCACGCGTATGCATTCCATGTCAAAAAGCAAAAATTTTCCGGCTCGTTTCTGCCCCTCTGGGAATCTTAAACATGCCTTTAGACAGACGACGTACACTTAGACATAGTTTTAATGCCCTACTCTGAAGGATATCGCTACTGCCTCACATGCGTAGATCAGTTCACACGTTGGCCCGAGGCAATTCCCATCAGAGCTCAATAAGCTGCAACTTAAGCTCGTGTTTTCTACAAAGGATAGATTTACCGGATTTCCCCACCAAGTTGACAACACTCCGCCGGCCGTCGTCTTATGTTAAGTTGAGTTGAGAATGAAACTCTCAGTTATGGCAGCACATTGTAATTTACTGATAACTAAAGGCTTTACCAAGGTATTTAGCTACATGTCTAACTGTCTAACTGGTCAAGAACTTTTATACTATTCTTATCAGAGAATTTCCTATTAATTTTGTTTATGTATAGAAATTGCGTCGTCGAACCAAAGCCAAGAGGTCTAAAGCCATCGCTTACCATTTGGGAGGACACCGGTTCGATTCCGAATCCCTCAACTCTGATCCAAGTTTTTCTATGGTTTTATTGGATCACCTAGGCGAAAGTTGGGCAGAGATATTCAACAGGTAATAATCTTTCACTTTCGCTGTCCGCCCACCAACAGTAGTGGCTGGAGGAAATAAAACCCAAAAGTTTTTTTTTTTTTCAGCTGGGTAAATAGATACCTTTGTAAGATCTTGTCTGAACATACGTAATACCTTGATGAGCAACAAATATTAGTAAAACTAGGTACTATATTAATTTACTCCTGCTATTTGGCTGACGATTGGTTAAGACTCCCTATGACGTGTTGATGAGATCTAGTAATACCGAAATTGCCGTCAACATCTAGTAACTTCGATAAATGACCAAGAACTGCCACTGTTCTTATTAAAACAAATTTTTTCTTAAGGTCAGCTTCTACTAGTCAAAATTAGAATTCAGCAATGAATGATATTTAGTTATTCTAACTAATTAACCCATTACTTCTATTATTTTAAACATAGATTCGATGTTGCAGATGGGAGAAAAATGCTCCTTTTATTGATTTTATTGGTAATTGTTAAATGAATGAAGTAGGTGATAATATGACTTCTTTTAAATGAATTGTCTATTTGATACATACATGTGATAACTACTAAAGCAGTTCGTAGCACATATTCCCATAACATTGCTCTGCTACTTTTTTCCAATTTTGGACCAATATATTCCCTCCATGTAATATCGACAGCAACGTAGCATTGCAGAGCATGTGTTACATAAATCGATAAAGCCAACGATACTTTTACTACTTGCGCCAATCTGGAGAGAACAATAAAATAATTTCGATTTTATGATTTGAGACATTAAACGTTAAGAGACCAATGTCTTTTGAATTTGTCTATTGGGAGAAACCCAAAAATTAAAAAATTAATTATATTGTACTAGTTACTATTAGTAATACAGAATACTTCTCAAATTAATATTTGGAGTTGTTTTATGAGTTTAATGACTTTTAATTTTATTTTGATTGATTATTAATTCTTATTAAATTATATCTTTAAAGTAAAATAATTTTTTATTTTACTTAAGTAAGAATATCGTGGGTACAGCTCTGCTGATATGCTTGGATAGCGGGAAGAAAATCGAAGGATATTATGAGATGTATATCGGAGAAGTCCTAAGGATATGAGGAGGTATCAAAGAGCTATTAAGGGAAAGATCATGAATATCATTTGAATGATTTCAAATCCAAAACAATTTGCGCATGGACATTCCAAGGATACCTTTCTAAGTAGCTGTACACCATTCTGTCGGATATAATATTTAAAATAATAAAAGTTATGTCTTACATGTCATCAGGTGGTAAATTTAGGGTAATGGCCGGTTCAACGTCAGCACCATAACTTAAGTAGCCTAGTAAGCCCATGATCAAATAGATACTAACCACCAATCCCATACCAATATTTAGTACTCCAAATGGTCTTGCAAAATTTTTAGGAGATTTCATCTCATTTTCTAATGGCATTATCTACAATTAGAAAAAAATTCGTCTACGCATATGACTCATTTAAAAATAAATATTAAATTTAAGTTTCGACTCGGTATTAAAGTGAATTAACTCAACAAAAACGTAGAAGAAACCACTGGGCATAAGAATCAAATAATACCCATATCATGTTACCGTTTCCACCCATCCTTGACAATGCAATAATTTTAAATTTTATTTATTTTTCAGGCAAATAGTGAAATAAGGGTTGAAAATTCCTATGTCTTGGTTTTCCTAAATCTTTGTAAAGGAAATTAAAAAAACAGGCATCCCATTCTCTTTTTAAATCGTTGTTTAATTCGGTTATTAGCCGTTGTTTTTAAATGTGAATATTGCAACTGGCAGCTTCTTTTTCAATTTCGTTTTATTGTAGATTATTCTGTTCTCTTGAAGAACCTACCAATTGAACACAGTTAGTGCAGAGATTGTAGAACAGGAGCTGGGTTTTATTTTTGCCGTTTTACGTGCAAATTTCCATAAGAAATGGTAGGCCACTGATGACCGTAAGGTGAAAGAAATAAAATTTATAACAGTAATAGAAACTTTTAAGGTATGAAATATTGTTATTATGTTATCCCTTAAATAAAAGAATATGACACTTTGGAAAAGGGACATAGTAATAAATTTTGGGGCAACTGAGCAAATCCTGGACGTCTAGAAACCCTTTGTAAGGCAAATAACAAGAAAATCGATTAGGTAGCTCTTGGCCAAAAGTGATCTGATTATTGCTTTAATTCGCTCAAAACTTCTTAATTTCCGTATCACCAGGAATATATTTATTTGAAAATAGACAAGGAAAAGCAAAGAATGATGGTACATATTCACTTGTAGAATGGTTTATCCTATCCTAAGTGGTTATGTTCGAAAATGATTTACAGTAGTGTAGCTTCCTTTAGAATTAATCAGATGGCATTTATAATCATTATGAGAAAGTAACAAGTCTCTTAGTTAGAACACTTGATGATTTGAGTACCCAAGAGAAACTGTGATAATAATATAAGTATATATAAATACTATGGAGTACTTTGACTACATCTAAAAAGGGAAGAAAAAACAAATAAAAGCAATACAAATTGATACAAAGAAAAATGATGTCAAAGGTAACATCGTTATACATTTTGTATGGAAAGACAAAATACAGAAAGTTCATTGACAGTAAGAGAGCGCTCATATGAATATTCGGTATATATTTTGGTTTGTTAGATTTTAGAATTCTACTGCCACATTAAATAAAATGCTTACTTACAACTCCTATAGCTTCCAGGGAGAACAAAACGGTACCAAAAAATAGAGGAAAATGATCGTATTGTCCAGTAGGTGACCTATTGTCGAAACTAGGTTTATTCCTAATGATGTAGTAAAAAATTATAGCGTATCCAATTAGCGTGATTACATTCGCAGCAGTACAGAAAGGCGCCAATCGTTTCAAATTTCTCACCCAGTTAATTAATATCAAGGGCAACAGAAACATGAGCATGTAAATCGACACGCTCATTTCAGGAAAATAGGTATCGCATACGCTTTTCACATTAGTTCCAATAAAAACCACGTAAACACAGCATATCCCGAGCTGGTAAATTAACAGGAATATATTTACAGCATGTCTGTAACAGAACAATAAAAGTTGACATTGAAAAAAAATATGAATATACTGGCTGAATGAGGAGGTATTTGAAAGAATAGGAGAACAGAGGACGCTATGGAAGTCAATCAGGAATAGGCGAGATAGGTTGGTAGGACATCTTTTCAGTCATGAAGGGCTAGTTAGAGATATACGAGGGCGGTTCAATAAGTACCCGTGTTAGACATGAAGACACCTTTTTTTTAAAGTTTTTTTTTTTTTCAACATAGTCCCCTTTTAGAAAAAATAAAATTTGTCGAACTCTCCAAAATCCCCCCTGTCTCGGCGATGACTTCCTCGTTTGAGCAAAATTTATTTCTCGCTAGTCATTTCTTCATGGTAGGGAACAAGACGAAGTCGCAGGGAGTCAAATCGGGGTGTGCGGCTGTAAATTCATAACGTAATTCATGCATTTTGGCGGCAACAGCTCCTGATGAATGTGCCGGTGCGTTATCGTGTTGAAAACGCACCTTCTTTTTCGTCAAATGCGTCCGTGTCTGCCAATTTTTTGTCGAAGCGGTCCAATAACTCACTATAGTATTGTCCAGTGATCGTTCTTCCTTCTCCTAAAAAATCCGTAAAATGATTTCCTCGGTAACAACGTTTGCCAGGCTTCCTGGTCGCTCCTATCAAAAACGGATCTTTGCCCACGTTTAAATTCGTTGAAGCAATATCTAACTGTGGTCGTAGATGGCGAAATGTCTCCGTAAACAGTATCCAACTTTATTTTCATCTCCTCGCATTTTTTCCCATCCAAAAACAAAAAGCGAGTTACCGAACGATACTGCTCTTTTTCCATCTTAGCGAAAATAACGAAACACGTCTCAGTCGAATGGCTGTCAAATCCAAACTAATCTATCAATCAGTCTGAAATTCGTTTTGGTGTGGTTTGATAGATGGCAGCACAAGATGACAACATCAATTTCCCTCAGGAACATCCTCTGTCTTCAAATATGGGTACTTATTGAACCGCCCTCGTATTAAAAGTGGAAGCAGGAGTTAAGAGGAGTATAGGTACGTCTAGATTAGATTCACAGATAACTATGAATGTGGGATATCCTACATTTAGGAAAATGCGAAGATTGTGCCAGGATAGGAAAAAGTGGAGGTGCGTGTCCATCCAGTCTTAGGGCTGACGACCTTGTTATGGTCATGGCCTGTTAAATCCATCCACATTTGTCGATGGTTCATAGTACATACATTTTAATCATGGTGATTCCCTAATACTATTTTCTGAACATAGCCTTTGGCGTATATCGCTTATCCCCACTGTATAGCACTCTACGCATGTCAGTCAAAGAAACCTACTCATAAGCTAATCAAGCAATCCTCTCCCACTATAACCTAAGGTTAGTCCATATATCGTTTCACACATATCAATCAGGGAAACCCTGTTCATTATAACCTAACCTAGACTATCGTGCAAAGCACTTTACACACTGACCGCCAATTAGCAAGTACTCTCTCTTCATAAACGAACTTACAGAAGTCAATCCGGGAATTACCACTCACCAATCAATAAGTCAATCTTCTCGTGCTATAACCTAACGTCAACTCATATCTAACCCAGACTCTCGAGCAAAGAACTTTATAAAAGCCAGTTAGGAAGTCCTCTCTGTCCATAACCTAACTAATTAAGCCTAATATGAAGCATGTTACGTCATAGAAACCAATTAAGGAATTCTCTCTTCTCTTTCATCATCACCTAATTCGATTCCGGGTCAATTTGCCTTGGTTCAAGTTTTTGTGTGGTTTCCTCGAATCACAAGGCAAATACAGGGGCAATAATATTCCACAGATAATCTTCCATTCTCTTCTGTCTTTATTTCGTTCGTCATATCTTTCTCATCCGAACCACCACCCACACATTCCCACAATTCCTGAAAGGGGGCTGAAGAGGGTCTTCCGCTCTACCTTCCTACATACTCCGGAGGGACTGCCAGCTTACTAGCATTCTTAGCTGGTGGGAATGAAACACTCAAAAGTTTTTCTTTTAAAACTCTGTCTCGAGGCCGCCTACAAATATATCAAGGCACTTACATGCGAAATTCTTCGTTCTACACTCAACTACCCATGGTTCATCAGAAACACCCAAATTCTGAAATAAACTGGCCTACATTCACTCCCCGAGGCTGCAACCAGATTCGGGGCAAATCTCAGAGCTCCGGTGTCAGGTCACTCAAACCCGTCTATCTCGATACTTTCCTAACTTCGTCCCTAAACCAAACGACCGTTTAAGAAGGTCCTGTCATCTTCTTTTCTGAGCTCCTCACTTTCTGCTCAAGTCTAATTTCGCACTTTAGCGCGAGTGCTCACCCAACTCTTTGAGGTTGGACAACCATTTTCGTCCACACCATTACCCCACATCCCAAAACATTCTCCCTCCCCACTCATCCCTCTCCTCTTTTCCAACCTTCCCAAAGAAGCTTTTCTGGGATGTATAACCTTCTGGTTGATCTCCCTACACGAGGAGGGGTTTTAGTCTGTGTTCTGTCGAAACTGCCTGCGACGCACTGATGAGATCCAACAGGATCGAAATTGCGATCCGCGTCTGGCAGTTTCGGCAGAACGCTGACCACTATGAATTTCTTATTTAGAAATCATGTTGAAAAGGTACGGCGGAGGTGCTGGGCGGAAAATATGTAATAATAATGTTAAAATGTTTATNCTTCTGCTTGATTTCCCTACTCGAGGAGGGGTTTTAGTCTCTGTTCCGTCGAAACTGCCTGCGACGCACTGATGAGATCCAACAAGATCTAAATCGCGATCCGCGTCTGGCAGTTTCGGCAGAACGCTGACCACTATGAATTTCTTATTTAGAAATCATGCTGAAAAGGTACGGCGGAGGTGCTGGGCGGAAAATATGTAATAATAATGTTAAAATGTTTATGCCGAAGAAGTCAGAGTCATTGCAATTAATTGTATAGTAACTGTAGTTTACGATAACGTACACACATACGTCCAAATATTCATACACACATACATACATACATACATACAAAGGGATTACCAAGAAAATCCTACGTTATAACTGGTCAGTCATTGGAATTTAATTTTGAAAATTTTGGGTATTTCAGCGTGCCATGTCTATATTTAAATAAGGTTAATTGTTTCTTTTAGGCTTTTCTCTAGAGTGATTTTCGTTACTTAGGTTATTTAAGTAACGATAAGTACTCTTGACGAAAGCGTAAAAAGTTGAAACAATTTTAGAAAAAACTCTAAATAAATTGAAACAGTAAAAAGCAATGTAGTTTCATTTCCTTAAAATTGTTATTTCATACTGAATAGCAATTAAAATTAGTGCAGAGCTGCCTACATTTGGTCGTTTTCTCAAAGAAAATATAACATCTCGTTAATTAAGTTGTGACTTACTTGGCGTATATTGAATACTTCTGGACCTTTGGAGGGCCTTCTAGGAATGCTATTTCGGCAACCTCGTGGTATGTCAAGCTGGGCACCTTTCGTCTTTTGCAAAGTTCATATTCTGCTCTAATTAGCATGTGAATGCAGTATGTACAAATTCCCCCGATGAGAACTGTTGCAATTATACCTACTAAATACCCTGAGTGGTAGAACGCTTTTGGCATCGCTAAGATTCCCGTACCCAGGCAGCCTTTCAGAAAATGGAGCAATGTTTCCGAATTTCTGCACAGAAATTTAAAATCAAAGTTAAATTCTGGGAAAAGTAAGAGAACTGCCGAAAACACATCAATGACTTCGTGCTGTCTTTTATCTTAATTCAGTATTCATCGTCAGATGAAATCAACCAAATAATTTAGATTACAATAAAGATCTTATCACAATTAATAATCAATGAAACGAAAAGAGTAATAATAATTTGAAAATTAAACATATTAAAATTATAGAGAAAAAAAGATTGCGTACCTATACACATTGTGTTCAAGAAATTAACAATTAAATATAAAAGTAGTTATGCAAAATAGTGCAATAGTTTATTGCAAGGATTGTTTATACCTATCATCGCTTCACTTTAGTTAGTTCATGTAAAAGCAAGAAATTCATTTAGCATCAGAGTAGCAGGTTATATCAAAGATTAAAGAGATATGACAGTTATTACAAGGTCATTCCAGAAAGGATTAAAGAATGCTCAAATATATGGAAATCATTGACAAAACAGACAGAAATTATTAAGGCTTATGCATGATAAAACAGTTTTGTTTGAAAATAAATAAAACCGAAACAAAAATACTGGAGTGCAAGGGAGAAAAAGTAGAGAAAGAACGAACATAAAAGTAGGAGAGGAAAAATAAAAAAAAGTGACTAATGTTTGGTATCTAGGAAGTCGGATAAGTCAGGACGGAAGGAGTAGTAGGGACATAAATCAAAGGATAGCGCACGGTCGAGTCGCCTTCCATAAAAAGAAGTCACTTCTATGCTCGCGAACGATTAATTTAGAAATCCAAAAAAGATTGTTAAAAGTGTATGTTTGGAGAGCGCGCTATACGGGATTGAAACATGGACGGTGGGCGCGGTGGAAAAGAAAAGAGTACAATCGTTCGAAATATGACACTACTGGCAAATAATAAGGATACCGTGGATAGAGGAGGTTAGAAATGATGAGGTATTGAAAAGAATAGGATGACAGAGGACTTTATGGAAGTCGATAAGAAAAGGGCGAGATAGGTTGGTAGGATACCTAGGTTAGGTTCCTGTTCGCAAATAGTTAAGGATGTGAGATGTTCTAGTTTTAGGGAAATGTGAAGATTAGCTGAGAATAGGGAAGAATAGAGGTGCGTGTCCAACCAATCTTACAACTGACGACCTTATATTAATAATATTAGAAAGAATAGGAGAACAGAGGACTCTTTGGAAGTCAATAAGAAATAGGCGAGATAGGTTGGTAGGACACCTTCTCAGACATGAAGGGCTAGGTAATGACATATTATAGGCAGAAACAGAAGTTAAGAGGAGTAGAGAGTAGATTAGAACTGCTCGCAAATAGTTAAGTATGTGGGATGTTTTAGTTTTAGGGAAATGCGAAGATTACTCAGGATAGGATGATGTGTGTCCAATCAGTCTTAGGACTTACGACACGATGGGGATGATTATGTATGAGAAAAAGTGGAATAGGAAATATGATTTTGACATTTTAGTGCTGGCGAGGATAGCGCAGTATAAATTATTTCGTGTAGATAATTTATGGTTAATATTTTTTTAAATTTAAGTTTCAAATAGTCCAGCCCAGTTTTGTACAGTAAAATGAGCTACTGTGCAATAAACTAATTTATGTATATATGTTTTAAAATTTCAATAAAGAAAACTTTGATAACATACAAGTGTGTAATAAATTTAATAAGATAGTTTATCAAAAACTTTAGATACTTAAACTGAGTATGGGGCAATTGTGATGTAAGATCTTAAATATTGTTTTTTAAGAATATAAATTATCACTTTAATTTGATTCCTAGAGTTATTGACCATGCGTAGACTAGAAGCGTTTGCATGAATTCTTGAATTTGGATCACGTTACACTTAATTTAAAAATGGAATGGTGTAATTATTGGAAAAAGCTATTAGGATCCATCAGATTGCAGGGAACTAAAAAACATAGTTGACTTAAGGGATAGTTTAAAAACATGAAATAGACTTTTATGTGGAATTGTATGTTTTTAAACNCATTCTTTGGCGTAGGACACCTTCTCAGACATGAAGGGCTAGGTAATGACATATTATAGGCAGAAACAGAAGTTAAGAGGAGTAGAGAGTAGATTAGAACTGCTCGCAAATAGTTAAGTATGTGGGATGTTTTAGTTTTAGGGAAATGCGAAGATTACTCAAGATAGGATGATGTGTGTCCAATCAGTCTTAGGACTAACGACACGATGGGGATGACTATGTATGAGAAAAAGTGGAATAGGAAATATGACATTTTAGTGTTGGCGAGGATAGCGCAGTATACATTATTTCATGTAGATAATTTATGGTTAATATTTTTTTTAATTTAATTTACTGTGCAATAAAGCAATTTATGTATATATGTTTTAAAATTTCAATAAAGAAAACTTTGATAACATACAAGTGTGTAATAAATTTAATAAGATAGTTTATCAAAAACTTTAGATACTTAAACTGAGTATGGGGCAATTGTGATGTAAGATCTTAAATATTGTTTTTTAAGAATATAAATTATCACTTTAATTTGATTCCTAGAGTTATTGACCATGCGTAGACTAGAAGCGTTTGCATGAATTCTTGAATTTGGATCACGTTACACTTAATTTAAAAATGGAATGGTGTAATTATTGGAAAAAGCTATTAGGATCCATCAGATTGCAGGGAACTAAAAAACATAGTTGACTTAAGGGATAGTTTAAAAACATGAAATAGACTTTTATGTGGAATTGTATGTTTTTAAACTAATAATTCATGATAGTATATAAGTGTAATTTGTGATTGGGCCGGCTGAAGAGGACCTGAATTGATAGGTCTTAATATATACAGATGTAAAAAATGGCTTTTTAAAGTATTTAAATACAAAAAGCAAATACTTTTTTGATTTGTTATTTCAATTGTAAAATACAAAACAGATTTCATTTTTGTATTTTAATGTGCCTGCATTTCCTCAATCGTAAGTATAAAATACTTTTTTAGAATATCTTGGAAGCATTTGCTCATTTTTTAAATATTGAAGTTTTTCCAGACTAATAGTGGTGTTTGCACTGTATCACCAGCTGGGAAGATTGATTATAATTAATATTTTTCTGTTCGAAGTGATTGTGTTATAGTTTTTTCTATCTTTATGTTATAGTTTCTTCAATTTAGCAACAAATTATTCTTCGATATGCTTCTTTGTTTTCCTTTGCCACCCGTTTTAATTAGGAAAAAGACACTACCAAAATAGTTTCTTTAGCGTGATCAGAACCAGAATAGGGTTTCAAATAACTCTATTGATTTAAAATCAAGATCAATCATTTGATATCAAAATATTTTTAGATTATCCGTTTCCAAGAAGTTTTGGGCTCTTTTCAGGTAAAGAATTAGAAGACATTCATGGAATGTCTCTTTATCCCCTTTTTAAGCTTATAATGCTTTCAATGACCAATGTGGACAACTTTTATTCATCATTTTATGTAATGCTTGATGAGTGATACTTTTAACGGCAAAAATGTGTTTTGCATGGTACAAATAAAAAATACGATTGGAAAAATAAATCACATCTCTGGAAGTAAACCAAGATAAGTACATTATAAATAATCAGAAACCAAAGACGCTGATAAAGGAAAAACAAAAACAGAATCGCTAAAGTGATTTATAAAACAAGTGGTAGGCAATTTATCATAGTTATTAACAAGATTTTTTTAAATAAAGATATAGTATAAATAGAGTCGTCGGAGGTCAAGAGAACAGTCGCGCCATGGGTACGTAGGTAACAGAGCGACCGACGACTGGTGCAACGTAATTGGTTTTGTCGAGAACGGAAGCTGAAAGATTCGATACAATCAGGTGTTTACAATAGCTTTATTTCGTGATGCATATTCATACGCTGATTTATTGCCATGCATTTGCGTCCGTAAGTGCACTGCCATTGCTAAGATATTATATTCTACAATACCTACCTAACAACAATTCAACAAGAGCAAAACAAATCACCTCCAGGGGTTCCCGTTCTGTACCCATTCATTTTATTCAACAGAATATAGAAAACACGTCCTCGTCTTTCTAAAATAACCACGGGATCGTAGGCCATTTTGAATACAGTAAAAGTTCCTTATTTACGGTTTCCTTATTCTCTGGTGAAAAAATTGCAATCCAGTTCCTGTATTCGCGGCTAAAAATTTCATTATTCGCGGATGCAATCGGTAAACAGAAAAGGATTCGGTGTCATTTATTAAGGGGATTGACCGCAATAGACCGCTCGTGCCTGGTGTGAAAATATGGGTTTCTATTCTAAACATTGTGATTTAATGTTGCGAGATAAATATCTGATTTTTTTTACGGTACCAGACAAAGGTTCACACTAACTCGGCACGTTTTTAGTTTTCAATAATATGGTCACTAATAGCTTTTACAGGTGCTTAAAGTTGATGCTTCTTGTAGGACATGTATTTTCAATAGAAATTAAAAAATTAAAAAATGGCCTTCGACAGGCTTTAGAACAAAGCTTTATCTATATTACTCCTTAAGGATGAA